CTCATGAAGGGGTCTTCTGGGATTCAAGGTGGAGATACTAAGAAATTGCTTCYGTATAAAATTATTACCTGCTCCCATACTTCTTTAAAACCGTGCAACTTGAATTAAAACTAAGCACTCAGCAGGTTATGCAGCACATACTTAATTTCTCTGTTAATAGAATGGGAAGAAAGTAYTTATTTTGAACAGGAATCCTTTCAAAATTCAGGAGACCTTGAATCTCTTATTTCAGCCCTGTTAACATAGTTGACCTTCTCTGTTAATAGCATAATCTAAGTATTTTCTCCTGAATTAGAACCTCTTTAGGAAACATTAGAAGCTTCACATTGTAAGTACACAAGGAGCACTCTTATCCTTCACTGAAATTCAGCCATTTTCTGCTTTGCTTGCAACAAACAGGAACAAAATGTATCCTTAGGGGAAAAAAAGAATTCGGCTGAAGGTGGGTGAAATTGTCATTGAAACCTTTAAGCTACAGCATAATCTTAAAGGCACTTGAGCAAYTCTGTAATTTATGGCACTGGTTGCAGTGAAAGTGTGGGATCCCATTAATTTTTCTGCCCACTGCCATGGTTTACCATTTGTTTGYTCATCCTAGTTCTGAGCAGTTTTCTAAGCTGCTGCTACGGTTAAACATCATTTTTTAAAGACGTTGGAAAAGAAAATTACTCCTGATATATATTTTTGTGTTCTTGTACGTATTACATGAGATATATTTGTGGAATTTTGATATCTCTATACATGCACCCTCCAAAATGAAATCTTTTGTCTCTTGSTGTATTTTTGGGAGACCAGACAGGGAGACTGTCTGCATCATGAGTGGGAGAAGTAAATGACTCACAGTTCTCTTTATGAGGAGCTTTGTTTCATTCAAATCCCTCTTGCCAAGATGCTGACACTGAATTTGAGTCATCAGCCATAAACAAGTCGTACAGAAAATTGAATCTTTAGAGGGCAGAAAATCATGGGCAAAGGAAAGGCACTCACCGGTGAGCTCTGTGTTAGTCTGTGCTTGAGAGGAGTTATTGATTGCATTATTTCCCGTGGTGGATTTTTCCATAAGTGCCTTAAACTAATTCAAAGTCCCAGCCTGAAATTTCATTTTGAAAACATGTATGTGTAGTGGAAACAGCAGCATCAGTCAGGTTTCGAGATCACGACTACAAAATTGAATTTTCACTGCACTAAACAAGGTGATTTTGGTCCCTGCTTTTGTCATGAGCTTTCTATCTATGCTCGGTTGTGAAAGGCTGAAATCAGTAAGAATTTTTGGGATCTTCCAGGAAAAAAAAGAAAGATGTGATGAAATTTAGCTTGTATTGGGTTTTATTTTCCTCCCCTGTRTAACCCAATAATTTTGGATAAATTTACTTCATATATCATGGTAGAAGTTCTTCAGGACTGGACATGTTTGTTTTCAGAAGTGATAATAGACCAGCTAATAGGTATTTCAGTTGAAAATGAAASTTTTGTACTATATCAACTTGAAGAATTTTACTTTCATGAAAGTGGAACAGCACCTTACTTTTCTGTGGTACCAGTGTTTCTAACCACTCTCAGCTTTGGAAGTGCAAATGCTTTAAAGAAGAGTGGTAATGCACAGGTGTTTTCATGTGGAAATATTTTCACATTTAATAATGTTCCCTTCACCAAAGCACTAAGAAGTCAATAATTGGCTGATTACAAAATGTGCCTTTTCATTTTAAGGTGTGATTCAGCATAGAACATGACATAGAAATGGATGGAGCTGACTCATGGAGAGGCCTGGGAAGGGGATGGGAKAATGGGAATGACTTCACTGTTTACAGGCATTTCTTACTCCTCAAAGTGTCGTCTCCAGCGTGGAGTATCCCAAGGGGCTCTCTGTTACCTGGCATTCCTTTCTTGCTCGTGACAGGTTTGTGCTGCAGTTACAATGCTCTGCCCCACCTGCCCCAGCTTGAGACCATAATCTTTGTAACGAGGCAGAAATGCAGCAATTTTGAAGGAAAGAGGGAAAACATGGTAAATTTTCAAAGAAGACATGGGGTCCAATGCAGGCAGTAACAGTTGTGCTGAGCACAGTCGAATGAACTTACACTCCAGCGCGGCTTTGCTAAATATAGCTACGGAATACGCGTTGTCTGCGGGCGCTGGTGTCGGAGAGCATTGCCATCTGCAGCTGGAGAAGCTGCAGAAACAGGGCCCAAATSACAAATAAAAGTGATGGCAGTAGGGTTACAGGCTGCCAGAGCCCTGGCCCTGTGCTTGGCTTGGCTGGGCCACCTTCCTCCTTGGAGGGGTAGATGGTGTTTCATTCGTGCTGTCCTTTTCACCACAAACGCGGCGTTTTCCCTCTTGTGCCTGGAGAGACTCTCCAAGACTTWTTTTAATAGAAATGAGCTTGTTCAAGCTCACCTCACTTTGGTGAGCTGTGCTTAGTGTAAGTTAGGAGCATACACAAGTTCACAATCAGCTTTGAAATGCAGCATTTTTACATATTTCACAATAATGTTTTAATGGTTAATAAACTATTGTTTACAACCTGAAGTCAGCCTACCTGAAAAAACCACAAATGAATCCAAACAGCATTAATCCTGATAAATAAAACATAGTACTTCCCCAGACTACACGATGCACTTGACTTCCTTCCACCTCAAAATGGTGAAAGTAATGCTACAATGAAAATTGTGGAGATTTTGTATTTTGCTTGTGCATGTCTTTTGTGGTTGGTTACTTGGGAAATTATGGACATGATTGCAGGAAATTTAGTGATAATTCCAAAGTAATTTGCTGTTTGTTCCTGGAAATTGAAATAGTTTTGTATTTAATTGTCTCAGAACCTCATTATATTGGTGATTTTTTTTTGTGGAGTCAGTGGTCTGGGGAAGGAGTCACTAGTGTTTCTGCTCAGAGTAAATATTTTGTGGTGAACTTCAAAATAGTGAGTGCGGATACCAATTTGAATAAAGGCATGTTACTGACAAGAGATACACCCACTTTGGTGTCAAAGAAATTGCTTATTCCTGTCATTTCATTCCATTAAGGACAATATAGGTTGATAAACCAGTGGAAGAAACTTTAAGGCAGGAATAGGTGCAGGTTTCATGAGCCATGTCTGGAATATGTAGCATGAGTTATTGATTTACATGTGTGTGTACTACCATGTGTGTGCAAGAGTAACCAATAATTRAGCACCTTTTGTTAACAGTTTCATATCTAAAATGGCATTGCCAGCTTTTACATTTCACAGTGGAGCTGTGGTTCTCCATAGGRTGTCTCTGTTCTCCTAAAAGAGTGGCAGCAAATAAGAAAACCAAATTTTTGCTTGAGATGTGTCGGAATGCATAAGAATTTGGTGTTGATGGGCATAGGAAGTCAACAGTAATTTGTTTAGCAACAGGTTAAAAGAAAAAATCATTCACGTTTTATAATTTTCAACTAAAAGCAAACATGTTTTTTCATTAAAACATTTTAATGAAGTGATGCCTATTGTTACTGTTTGGTTTGTGAGAAGCTGATGATTACAGTGGAGAGGGAGCTTGTTTCACTAGCTTGAACACATGCCAGAAGTGTTCAAAATGGGAAGAAATGTGCTTGAAAAGTCAGTGGGTTTGAACTTTAAAGGCTTGGGACCTCGTGCCAAGTCTGCCACTTCTTTCCTGCGTAAATATGGGAATGTTATCATTTCAAGTGCTCCAGTCACGCTCTCCTCATTTAAAACCACAGATATTTCAGCCAACTTCTTTTGTAGAGCAGTTTGAGATAAGGGAATGAAGGCTATAGGTGTTATTTTAAGGACTGTTCTTGAAGCAGGGACGAGAGGTTGGCTCAGGACACTGGCAGAGAGGTTTGGAGAATTTTGCCTCCTTATTGCTTACTGGAGCCATTCCCACAAAAAGGTGATTCAGCAAGGAGTAGCTTTAAAGATGTTTTTATGTTRGTATTGATCTCAGCCCAGCAGACACTGGTGCTAATTTAGCATCCATTTGCCAGAGCAGCTGGGATGGAAATGAGTGTGTTGTTCCCTTGCCAAATGGTGTCCTTAGGAAGGGTTGAGCACAGGGATGGGAGAGCACAAGCAGGCTCACACTGCTGTGTCCAGCTGGACATCACTGCCAAAGCTCCYCTTCTTTTTGTGGTTTCTACACTTTCAGTCCCTGGAGTAGATCATACTGAACACAAGCATACATGCATGTATTAAATAAAATATTCAGCTCCAGAGTCAGGACTGTATCTCAGCGTTGGTGCCAAACCTCTCCTAAACTCTAAGAAGACTAAAAGTATATGTTTTATTCTACATAACTAATTATGCGTCATTTTTTGTTAGAAAACTTTTACAGAAAAATATTTTTTAATCTTTATAATTAATAAAYAGCTTACCTGGGTAAGCTTGAGACACAATGAAGTGTCATTTCAATTGAATTTAGGAAATACAGATGTTTGTCTCCAAATTATTTTTTGAGGTTTATGTGGAAAGCCAGACAAAAAGCCTTTATGGTAGTGTTTTTAGTGGATCTAACATAGATTTGTTTTGGTTTTGTTCCTCACTACTGCTCAGAAATTAGCTAAAACATTTATATTGCAGAAATGATAGAGCAGCAGTTTCAAGTCCTTTGTGCCTTACATGCTCGATTAGAAAAATCCCATTAATGATAGAAAATGCTAATCAGTGATGTGTTTTGCCAGCCACTACAAGCCCACGCATTCTATATAATCCATTGTTTATTAACCTAATGAAGGTCATTGCAGCTTTTGAAAGCCTGTGTGCAACRCACCAAGGTGACTCTAAAATTCTGTGATGCTGGCCTTTGGTGCTGAAATAAGTCAAGGTTGGGTATTTACTTACCAGAATGGTTCTGGTGTAAATTGAGGTTTTTTTTTTTCTGAGTGGAATGATCGTTCTGTGCTTTTCATTTGTTGAACAGTGCAGAGGTGGCTAAGCTGATGGTGCTGCCRTTAAGCAGCTAGACATGGTCCTTACCCACATCTTACGGATTTTCCTTTTCTTTTCTTGGCAGGTGACATCACACAGAAGGGATATGAAAAGAAGAGATCAAAATTAATTGGGGCCTACCTGCCACAGCCTCCCGGTATGTGTATCTGTGCTTGCCATATATGAAGATGTCAAGTGTACTGGTGGTTGCCACTGTAAAAATCTGCATCTCTGAWGGAATATCTGTGGCAGAAACAAAGCTATTGTTATGCAGAATAAGCTTATTCCATGCATTTTATGTGAATTTATATATCTACATGTCCGCTTTGATGTGTGTGTACATTTTCTACATATGTTGGTGTGGGTTTGGCAGTCATGTCTRGAAAGTTAACACAGCCTAAGCTTGTGAGAGAGGCATTRTTTCTTSGAAGGAATGCAAAACTCCAAAGGATAATGTGATGTCCTGACTCATTAACACCTCGGCCACGTGAAGTTTTCTGAACAGAAGTATGCACAAGAGTGGAAGAGAACCTTGGATCTCTGTAAYTTCCTTCATTTCTGTGTTTCCTGTCCAAGTCTCACATTTGAAGGCAGTAGAGAGACCAGCAATATCCCCGGAGTTCAGCTTGTTGTAAGGCGTGTGGGCAGCTGACCTTTTATAACATAACCTGCTGTCAGTGTTAAGGGATGGGCTGCATGCACTTGCCCAAAAGGTGTAAAAATACCTTCAAACTGAATTGAATAATGTATTGCTTCATTGACTTAATTTCATATGTATGTATAAGAACTTCCCAGAGTTCTTTCACTCTTGTGAGGCCCTGGATCATGAAGTTGAATATGTAGTTGGAGGTATTGGTGTCCCCCTCTCTTCTGTCCTGATCTCAGAGGAGTGTGCCTGTGCATTCCTGGTYTCACTGACCTTACAGGGGCTCCATTGAGCTTGTCTGTTCTCTGAGCCTTGTTTTTGTTACAGGCCGCASCACTAGTTTCCTTCTTCTTTTACAAAATCCTTCCTTTACAATGGAATTGATGGGGTTTTGTTTAAACTGCTCACGTGTGGAGGCACTGCCTTGTTCCCTTTGTCAGGTTTATATAAATATTGTCTAGCTCCATAGCAGAATGCTGATTTTGTGCCTTTGGATTTCACTTGGTCTGCTCCACTGGTGGGARCTCCACAAAAGAGACTGATGTTACAGACACCTCTGTTTTCTGAGATGATACAGCCTCCTTTGAGGGTGTCTGTGACATTCCTGARCCACTGGGAGTCATTAGAGAATGAAGCAAATCAAATCAACAGAATTACAATACCAGAGGTGCAGTTTATTAAATTTCTGAGTATTTATTGGTCTAACCTGACTGTCAGACATATATTAGTCTTCACAGCTGKCTCTCATGAGACCTGCTTGGATTTGCTGGGCTGTGGAGAGACTGTTGCCTCACAGCAATCCTCAATGCAGCAGTGCAGTTGGTACCAGACAGAATCTGTTTATTTTTTCAACTGTGACTCTCCTTTCTTCACACAAGCAAAAAGAGCTGTTTCTCCAGAAAGCTCAYAGTGTTCTGGTCAAGCTGTATCTATGGCTGAAACTGCTGGGGATTCATATGCATGTAATGATAAAAGAGAGAACGTGGAGAACC